GGAGCACGGGAAGCCGGATGAGCGCTCTACTATAATTAAGGAACTGGCTGGGAAGATCGTGCAAATGAGCCAGCAGAAGTTTGCCTCTAACGTTGTTGAGAAGTGTTTAACTTTCTGTAATTCCAGTGAACGACAGCTATTGGTGAATGAGATGCTTGGCACAACTGATGAAAATGAGCCTCTTCAGGTTTGTCTAAATTTTATTCAATATTTTACCATTTAAGCAGGATTTTGATTTGCATATGGCTACTGGGTTCATAATATTCAGTACTGCTTCAAGATTACGTATATGGAAACTTTAATTTTTTTATTGGAAGCAACCTCTCTACCTTCACAAGATAGGGGTAAGATTGCTTACACATCACCCTCCGCAGACCCAGTTACACTAGGTATGATGTTGTTGTTGTGTCAGGATGGAGTATAAACCACCTATGTTGTGCATTTGTTGAACTTTTAAACTCTTGTATGCACCTGCCTGGATTTCCAAATCCTGAGGTAGCAAGCTTGGTTGAGGATATTTTGAAGCTTCTGGATAGGATGTTTGAACCTAGAGATTGCTGAACTAATGATTGTTATCTTTTGGTGGGCCTCTATTGACATACGTACCCTATCAAGTTCACTACCTCTGTTTATGTTCCTGTTCTTGTTCCTGTTGAGACGCATGGCGTTGCAGTCTCAGATTAATCGCTAAGGCAGCCAGCTGTTTTATTTTTAGGACTTAGCTTGAATGGGATATCAGTCTCTTAAAAAGGTTGAACTTGGAAGAAAAGATAGGTAGCCTAGATGGTATGATCACAAGTCATAGCTTATACCCGATATTTTGTGGCACATGTTTTTGAAAAGCAAGAAGTGGTTGAAGATGAAGTTACCAAACGATCATTCATCAATCCTGATTCTTCTATTATTTGGTTTCCTACCTCCAAAATTAACCCAGAAAAATCTGTAAACCAACCGTTGCCAAATTGAAGATAAGATCTTGAACTCTATTGCTTTATTTCAAACCAAAATAATGGGATTATGTTGAATTCGAAATTAAGCACAAGAAATGATAGGTGTTAGCTATAATTTCTAAACTTCTCTTAACACTTGCTGGATGAGCATTGGACTTACCCTTGACATGTTGCTAAAAGACATTAGAAACTATGGCGCATGGTGATGTTGCGTAAGTTTTTAGGTGTTAATTTGTTCACCATTCCAGACATATCATGGTTGGCGGCAGAGGGTAACTGGCTCTTCTGACCTTTGTATTTTGCTCGTGCTTTTTGACATCTTGACATGTTTGGTCCCCTTTAAAGAAATTTTTTAAAGTCTTGTGACCAATTAATACTTGATTTTGGATCAAAAAAAGATGGAACAAGTGGTGTGGTGTGGGGTGGGTGGTGGTGGTTCGCCCGGAGTGTTTTCTATGTCAAGATACCCCGAGTTTTCTATATAATTATTGGATCTCAACAATATCTATGCTTTAACTTTTGCATCTTTGGGAATAGAGTTTATCTTAAGAAGTACTACCTCATGTATCTATGGTTGTGATTTTGATAGCAGCTGTAACATATAAACTTTTAAATAGTCTTCTTTCTCTTCTCTTTTCTCTAATTGAAATCATCTCGTTGAGTTGTGCATTGTTTTTTCACATCTTTCTTGTTTTTGTCCAGGCTATGATGAAAGATCAGTTTGCAAATTATGTAGTACAGAAAGTTCTGGAAACTTGTAGTGATCAGCAACGCGAGCTGATCATGTCGAGAATAAAAGTTCACTTGAATGCTCTGAAGAAATACACTTACGGAAAGCATATTGTCGCCCGTGTTGAAAAGCTAGTTGCTGCTGGGGGTGAGCTCTTTTTCTGTTTGTACTTGTCTAGAGCACTGAATCCATTTGTGCTTTTAGTACTTACTATATGGTGTTTGGCCATGACTTTACATGCACACTATTGAAAAATTTGTTTCACTTATAAATCTCCCAACCTTTTTTCCAAGTGATTCATGTCCAGATACAATTCAACTTGCAAAGACTCGTTCTCCAACTTCGACTTCAATAACTTGTTTTTTTTTCAGCCTTCAACTGAATATTGTCCGAACATCTGCTAAATGATTTTTCTATGCTGTTTTGCAGAAAGGAGGATTGCTGCGCAGTCCCTAAGTACTGCTTAGTCTTGTAGGAAAAGAAAGTTGTACAGCTAACTGAGGCTAGTTTGAGCTACCTATCTTCCACATCTGTGTTTTGTTATTTGCAAATAAAAGTTGTTGCATGTACTAGAGGAGATGTACATTGTGTAGTTAAAAACATAAATATCAGGTATGCTGAAGCTCAGATGTCAAATATTCGAGATGGCTGTGCAGAGGGAAGTTGAGTTTCCGAAAGGGTGTAAAAAAATGGAAGATAAAAAGGCGAGGTAGTTTTACATCGACGCGACTGTACAAAATGTTGCCTTTGTTGGAGAGTTGATGTTTTAGGGTAAGGTCAGAATTTTATTGTATGGTATTTGACAATTTTTCTTTTATGGCCAAGTATATTTTCCTTCATCTCAGATCCTCAGTTTTCTACTCTTTTATCATTTTATGTGGATTTATTTGATACTCTTTAATATGCAATTGGATTTGCTTATGTTTGTCCATTTGGTGACGTGGAATCATGATTTTATTTGTTTTCCCATGCATGTCTGGTGTATGCATTGGAGCCCCGACTAATCTGAATTTGCTGCATATGATCTGTAGAAGGGGATCTTAGTAAGATTCTTTTTCATACTCGGGACTTGAATCTGAGACTTCTGATTAAGTGTGGAAGGGATATGTGTCGCTGTTTGTTGTTTTTGTTGATTGATTTAAGCTTTCATATTATATATTTGCTCTTGGGTCATTAGTTTTATATGCTTTATATTATGATTTATGCACTTATTTGTCGGAGTAGATTTTAATTATTAATATCTCAGAACAAAATCTTAAATATCAATAAGAAATATTTTTGTATGAATAATTTTCACCTATCACTCTATTCACAATGCCATTATCATTAATTTCCTTTGTTATCATAACTACTACTACTTCTGCCTCAATTTATGTGGGTTTTTTCATTTTTCAAGAGTCACAAGTTTAAGTTTGATTGAAAATTTGTACATGCAATCTTTGAATTTTGTATGTCTTCTATTTTTGCTATTATCTTTTATAAATTGTAATAACTGATAATTGTGTTATTAGTAGTTTTTATTCAAATTTCGTGTGATGGTTTTTGAATAATTATTCTGATAGGTAGGCAATTAGATTTAATAAAAGCCTACCTACACATAAAGGTTTCGATTCAAGTGAGAGTAATTCATTATAAAAATGAAAATTTTGTGTCAAACTCATGGGTATTTTAATGGTAAAAATTACATAGATCTTATAATGTTAAGATTTAATTACATCATATTCCTATTCTTTTTCAAATTACAAAAATTCATTAAATTTATAGGTTGTTCCATCCAAAACTCGTAGACTATAGCAACAAGTGTGTTCACACTCCATTGTACCTCCAAATTCCATGGCAAAGCTGGTCTCATTGTCCATGACATTCACTTCATTGAAACGTTTATTTTTATTACTTAAATTTATGTTCAATTAAATTATATCACGTAAATTCAAATAGAATCGTATTTCACATGGGAGGGAGTATAGAGTACTTGGGGCCCTATTTAACATTATTTCAAATGATTGATATGAAAATGGGTGAATTCAAAGTTGAATTTTGTTTGAAGATGAAATTTGAATATTTTAAGTTTGTATTTTTTCTCATAAACATAAAAAATTCATTATCTATCAAAACTTCCCAAACTTGTATACAGTCTAACTAAATCAACAAAACATAGTTCATAAATAAAGTACTAAATTATCTCTAAGACACATACTTTTACAAAAATCCACTTATCCAATAAATCAACAATTGCAATAACTAACTATTTTTAAAAATTATAATCCGCCCACTTGGTAAAAACAATTTCTTCACATCAACTGCGACGTTTCTTTCAAAAACTAAAAGTGAGTCTTTTTTTTGCAAATAGAAATTTATATGGACCGAGTTTAACATTTAAAAATAAAATAAAATGGAATATTCCACTTTTTGAAGAAATTGAGATTTCAAATTATAATATGAAATTAAAATTAAATTAAAAATAAAATAAATAATTACTTATTTCAAGTTAAAACTTCAAATTTGAACTCCTAATTCAATATTGAAATGCCTACTCAGTTCTATTTTCTTTGAGAAAATTAAGTAGGAATTCATAAATAAGATTGTGTATTTAGGACAATTAGTTACTGATTCTTGCAAAAAGTACCAAAAGAAAAGGACAAAAAATCTATAAATAGACACCTGACACATTCCAGTTGGAAAGTTCATCAGTAAAAAGTGAGAAAGAGATTTAGATATTTATTACTTTTTCTGTTCACTTTTCTTTGTCTATTTTAAATTTAACATATCTCCTAAAAAATAAATATTTTATTATAATATCTATATTAATTAATATATAAGTAATTTTAAAAAATAATAAATAAGTAAAAATAAAAGAATTGAGAACACTTACTGCTCACACAATTTTAATATATTTTTCTAATTTTAACTTTAACACAAAATTTAATAAAGTAAAATAATTAAGATACATTTTGTCAAATAATTAGTACTTCTTTGATTTCATTTCTGACATTTTTATTCATTAGTTCTTTTTAAAAAAACAATAACACATTCTTATACTTATATAATTATAGAAGCAAAATCACAATTTCAATTTTATGATTTTAGAATTTCAAAATAACGATTTAAAAAAAAAAAAACATTTAATATAAGCATCTTTTCAACCAAAAAAGAAAAAAATAAAGTAAAGTTGAGAAAAAGAAATAGATATTTATAAGATTCTAGTAAGAAAGATGGAAAAATATCTAGCTAAATCATCCACGCTGGCGATTGCTGGGCCAATTTAGAATCAGATATTGCACTTTTTCTCACACTTTTCCCCCTTTATTTAATACTATATTCCTCATTTTCCACCGCCACATACCCCACCCCCTCACCCCCAATTTCTTCCCGCCGGTGAACTCACCGGAAAATCCTGTTACTCTGATCCAATCCTCTACTGATATCACGGAAGATTGGATTTAACTCGAAAAAAATAAATTAAAATAAAATAAAATTGGGATTCGAGAAGGTTCTCTATGGGTGAAGAAGTGACAATTATGGATGGTGATGGTTTCGCCGGAGATGATAATCGTGTTGTCGAGTGGGAAGATGGACTTCCGAGTTTTGACGATCTGACGCCGTTATCTCAGGCTTTAATCCCGCCGGAGCTAGCGTCGGCGTTTAGAATTACGCCGGAGCCGGTGAAGACGATGACGGATGTGAATCGTGCTTCGGAGAGTGCTTTTTCGTCTCTCCGTGCAGGACAGTTACATTTGTTGTCGGAGAAGTATAATTTTAATGAAGGAAGGAATGGAGATAGAAATCATGAGAATGATGAGGTGGATCTGACAAGAGATGGATCCGAGTCGAGGAAGACACGGAGAATTGACCCGGAGATGGTTACTGAAGAGGCTGATTCGGCATTGAGGAATGAGAATTGTGGAGATGATAATTCAGCTAAGATGCAGAAGCGACCGCGGTTAGTCTGGACGCCACAGCTGCATAAGCGATTTGTGGATGTTGTGGCGCATTTAGGGATTAAAAATGCTGTGCCGAAGACGATTATGCAGCTGATGAATGTGGAAGGACTAACAAGGGAAAATGTTGCTAGTCATTTACAGAAGTATAGGTTGTATTTGAAGAGAATGCAAGGGTTATCGAATGAGGGTCCTTCGTCGTCTGATCATTTGTTCGCTTCCACGCCTGTGCCACAGAGTTTGCAGCAGTCCGGTGGTAATGGACACAGTGGTAATGGTCATAGTAGTAATGGACATATGCCAATGCCTATGCCTATGCCAATGATGTATCCGCCGCAAATGGTGCCAATGCCTATGATGGGAATGTCAGGACATGGGTTTCATCATCAGTATAATATGGGGCAACCGCGGGACTGGTCTGGAAATAAATTTGGTTCTTATCATCATGTTGCTCCTGGTGAAAAATAGCTGTAGACACAAAAAGGAGGTTAGATTCTTGATTCTATACAAGTTGCCGCAACTCTACTGTTTGATAACTTTTTGTATGCTTACAATAGTTAATTATTTGTACAGGGTTGAACACTGGATTGTTCGTCAGAAATCTCATTTGGTGGAATGCAAACTAGGAATTCCAGTTAAACCCTTTAGGCCTTTTTCTTACTACTTGTTTAGATTTGGTAGATTTATAGGTAAAAAGTTTCATAAATTGCTCTAAAGTTCTTAGAGCTAGGTCATTTCTGATTGTAGCTTCTTATTCAGAAAGGAGCTTTAAGACATAATACATGATAAAATTGTCGTTTTGATCATACTTTTCTTGAAAAGTAGTACAAATAACGGGATTCTCTTTTTCTTTTTGTGTTGGTAAGTATTGTAACGTATCTTTTGGTGTGCCGATGTGTTTTTAATAGATGAATTGACGGCAAAACCAGTTTTTTTCCTAGAAGTGGGTGTAGACGATGTAGGAGTGACTGCTGACTCTTACATCTTCTTTATTACCCCTTTTTGGTCGATTGCAAAAATTTTACTATGGCAAAAAGCAAACTACTTCTAAGAATTTTCAGGCCATAGAACATTTTATCTGGCAGTTAGAGTGGCGATATAGTATGAGTCGAACTTTTTAATAAATTATTGGCGTGTAACGGATATCTGGTGGTCATACACTGATCTTCATTGTCCTGGAAGTGTATTGTTGCTGATAAAAAATCCTAATCTAATTTCTGTAGCTGCAGAAACTAAGATACGAAAAGAATAGTTTATTTGCTGATCTCTTGAAATTGATGCAAACTAAGGTGGATGGTCAAGTAAGAACATATAATGCCTTTTCTGCGCCACAACCAGCACTTCAAGAGGGATCTACCCGTTCTAACTTTGTAATGAAGCTAGTAAAGCAAAAAAAAATTCCTTCTTTTTAGCCTCTAACATATTGTAGCGGTAGCTGTTGTAACACTTTAGTTGATATTGATGTCCTTGCGATCATATTTCTGCATTCTAGAAATGTTTCTGCTGTATCTAATGTTCTACCAGATATACATTATGAGTTACTTGTTTCTATTGGATCTCAAGTGTTACACTACATATGGCATTTAATGATAAGTGTTCGCATTTTGCTTATTGTTAGTATTAGATATTTGTTTCCAGTTGTGATCAAAGGCTCAATAATACGTTAGGAACTTGTCTGCTGCCTAACATGGTATATGAAGCATAAATACCCTACTTCACCACTTCACGGTTATATTTTCTTTCTTAACACAGTAATTGATTGTACCATAAGTGGTTGTGTTATATTAAATTTTACGTACAAATGACAAACATTTCATGTGGTTACATTTTCTCTAAGGCGGCTTAAAGTTTTCCAATACACCTAAATAATCTGCTGCCCTGTTATTCTTGTCGTTGATAACGTGGTGTCCGGGCCAGCTTTCGCACACTGCGACTAATTCCATGGAATACCATCATCTCCCACCAGCAACAGGTACTAGGTTACTCTGTCCATCATGACTAGGACAAATGGGAAGAAACCATAATCTGCTGCCATGTTTCCCCTTATTTAACGAACATGATACAATATTCTTTGGGAGGACTCATTAACTGAATATCTTATTTTGGCTTAGATGAATTAGTCAATTTTGTGTCTTCTTTGTATTGTTAATATACATACATATATTTTTGACCATCAAAGGTGTGACAGAAATCATGTGGATATGAGGAGCTTTTGATGAATACCTTTTGTGCATCACTTGGCTCACAGTATCAAGATACTGCTAGTAACTTCTTTGGTAGTGTTGCTTGAGCTTGAAGCCTTATATTGTGAATGTGTAGCCTTTCCTCCTTGTGATTTATATGTATATGTTAGCTATGGACTATGTAAATGTGTTTGTCTGCACTTTTCCTTTCTGTAAGCTAGTTCAGCGAATAGGTAAAATTCGGCTGATTGTAAGATGTTGTATTGCACCTTCTTTAGTGCTTTCTCTTCTTAATATTCCTTTCGTGTTAAAATTTGAAGAATATATTTTATGCAACTTCTGTCGGTTTGAAACTCTGACCATGTGAGCTTTGCAGGCTGTAGCCGGTCCTAAGCTCAGATAAAGGAGGATTAATGGCCGATGTAAAAATAATTTAACTATGAAAAATGTCTGAATACTATAACTGAATCCAGCTAAAATAGATGCTATTTGTCTTTCTGCATTAGTCTAAAATGTACATGTTGATGCAATGAATCACAACTCGTGGAATTAATGTGGAATTTGAAATGGTTCTGATAACTTGTGCAATTTGGACCTCTTTTTGTAAAGTAACCACTTGTGATGGTGGCTGCTTAGAAAATGAGTGGAAGTTGACATCCTTTCTTCTCGATCTTGTAGGTCATCTAGATTGATGTAGGTATCAATGTTGTTCACACTATCTCAACCCCATTTCCAAGGGAGATGGTTTTCTTCAATTTTCTTGGCTTTATTAACAACTCATTTTCTATTTTGTCTTAGTTTGAATATTTTGATTTTTCTTTACTACCTCATTAGTAGACCATGTTTAGGTTTTGCTTATTAAACATGTCGTGGTTAGGTATGCACAGTTGTTCTTGATGAAATATACAGTCCCTATGTTTCTTGTTCTTGTTGGATGGTAATTGACTCATTCAGGTGTTTTCTGTATTCTGGTTACTTATTTGGTAGAAGATCCTACGTGGGTAGTTGCTATGTTTCTTTATCATACAAATGGTAAATTTACTTATCATGTATACTTTGTACAACGAACATCTGCAATTTGTGCTTGCTCTGCTATTCTACTAGATATGCCATTTTTCATAGAGATATTATGAAGGATAGAACCAGTATAGAATCCTGTGTCCATTTATTTTCTTGACCGCTTTTCATTTGCCTTTTGCTTATTCTCTGGATGGATAGAAACCATATTGTTGAACTTGATTGTAGGTATGTAGTCATCTCTGTGCTGTGCGGTTTATCAAGCAATGGATAACTGTAATCCAGAGAAGTCACAAGATCAAAGGTATAACCTATTTCATCCTCCATGACAGAGGGGTTTTGCAGTCTCTTGCTGGATTTGCCTCCTGCACAAGGATCGCACGTCCTTTTTTTGTAACTTACTGGTATCACTGGTTTGATCGAATTTCTACTCTTTTATGTTGTGATTTTCTTGCTGCCCTTTTCTAATCAAGTGCGTTTGATATGATGGAAGTCATTTCTAATGAGAAGTTCCTTCTGTAAAAATGTCTGGTAATATTTTCTAGGAAATTGTTTCCACTTTCTGGTGTTAGGACTTGGTTGGTGACTGGAAAAGTATGTTGCTACTAATGATAATATGACCATAGAGGAAGGTGTTGGATGAAATTTGTGAGTATTAATTACTAATTGTAATGTCCAAGTATGAGTTGAAGCAAGTAATATGGTAGTTGAAAAGAAAATGATTTCTCCCTATTCACTTTCAATGGAAAAATGCTTCTCTTGAAAAATATTTTTTGGTAGTCAAACACCATGAAAAATTTATGTTATGTGTTCTATCAATACAAGAGAAGTTTCTGTTAAAAGCACATATATAGATTAATTGTTTCATTTTGGTTCCTCATATCATTGCATAGACGAAACACATATTTCCACTCACACAAATAACTTTACCGTTCCTTCAAGGTTCCCTAAAACATATTAGTAATATTAATTTCTCAAATCCCGGTACATGTATTCTGCAATATATAAGCTCAAAGCCGAGGAAGGGGTAGCTGATAAAGAAAGTTGTTGCTTATGAGTTTGAGCGGTGAAAATGGCATATTGCAGAGAAGCAAGATAAGGTTGCGTACAATAGACCCTTGTTGTCAGGCCCATCCCCGAATCCTGTGCATAGCGGGAGCTTAGTGCACCGAGCTGAATGCAGCATGAAAATACTAGCCTATCATCCGAAAGACTTCTGATTTTCAGACCATACAACCCCTCTTCAGACGTAGGGTCCTTCTTTAATAGGAAGTCTGGACAAGCCTTTGAGGACCCAAAGTGCATGGGATTTCTGTAATGCTTTGCCTATCTGTATATTCTTTGATTTCCTCTACAAACTGTTTCATTTCCAGCACTTTGTAGCGTCCTTAGAAACCGAACTGGTACTCAAGATGGTATGTAATGACTCAACTCAGATCCTGAATCCCGCGGAATCTATGTTGTGATCACCTTGATTCTAGGCATTGTTCAGTAAAGAAACTGCTTGCCTCTTTGTTGAATGGTGCATTTCCCTTTGTATGTATCAGTTGAGACTAGGGAGCAAAACCAACCATTGATTATCAACACCTCCCCTTCGAGGCACGCCTTCAATCCAAGATCGCATACTCAACTGATCTTCAGCTTCTCTAGCCATCTGAAAACTTATGCAACTTCTACCCAACTACAGCCAGGAACTTTTTTCAGTTTCTTCTTCTTGATCACCCTTTTTACCTTCGCAACGTTTACCCACTTATTTGCATCAGCATATAAACTTGATAGCAACACACTACTTCCAGCACTCTCAGGTTCAAGTTTAGCCAATTTCTCAGCTGCAACCGCTGCTAAATCCATATTTCCGTGCTGCCTGCATGCCCCTAATAATGCTCCCCAAACAAATAAATCAGGTTCAATTGACATGGTCTGAATCAAATCGTAAGCCTCATCGAGTTTCCCTGCTCTCCCTAGAAGATCCACCATACACGCGAAATGCTCCAATCTTGGCTTTATCGTGTACTTTTCCTGCATCAGTTTGAACAAACTTTCTCCATACTGCACAAGTCCAGCATGACTACAAGCAGTGAGAGCTGCTATGAAAGTCAAGTGATCTGGTTTCCTCTCTTCCTCTCTTAACATTTGATTGAATAATTCAATTGCTTCGCTGCAATACCCATGATTCGCGTAGCCAAAAATCATCGAGTTCCAAGTTACTGTATTTTTTTCACACATCTTAGAAAACAAGTGCTTTGCTTCAGATATAAATCCACATTTTGCATACATGTCTATGAGGGCACTTTTTACGTATACATCCTTCTCGATCCCCATCACTACCGCGTAACCATGTATCTCCTTCCCACGAATCAAATCTACCACAGTTGCACAAGCAGGCAATATGCTACTAATCGTAGCTGAACTTGGACATATCCCATCATCCAACATTCGCTTAAACGTATCAAAAGCTTCCTTGTTATGAAAATTCTGCACGAGCCCGGAAACTATACTAGTCCAAGAAACAACATCTAGCTCAAGGCCATCATCGTGCATCAATTCAACAACTTTACAAACCACACCTCGATCATCTTCTTGCGAAAACCCTGCAATCAGAGTATTGTATGTCACCACATTAGGCTTCATACCTTGAACTTTCATTTCCTCAACCAAATCCAACGCTTCATTTACGATCCCCTGTTGTACACAACCCGAAATCAAAGCATTCAACGAGACCAAATCTTTATTCACCGTACCATTAAACACCCTTTTCGCCTTCTCAACTCTACCACACTTTGAATACATATCTATCAATGCACTAACCACATACGAATCAAATTCAAACTTATTCTTCAGAATCACACCGTGCAATATCTCCCCTGTTCGAAAATCATTGAAGCGTCCACAAGCTTTAAGTACACTAGGAAGAACAAACTTATTCGGCTTCTTTCCACCCCTTTGCATTTCATAAAAAACACCCATTGCTTCCTCGTAAAACCCACGACGAGCATACGCCCCAATGAGAACGATCCAACGACGAGAATCTGATTTGGGAATTTTATCGAACAGTTTACGTGCATGGGATAACTGTTTACATTCTGCATAAAAAGCAATAAGCTTTGAAGCAAAATGAGTTCTTTGAGCCAATCCATTGATGATTAAGTGTGCATGTAATACTTTGCCTAATTGCAAAACGCCATTTTGAGCATAGGTTTCGAAAAGTTTTGTGTATATGTCTGTTGCTTTGGTGCCAATCACCATTTCTCTCATATGCTTTGGATAAGTAGAAATTCTTTAGTCAATTGAACTGCATTTTGAGAGAGAGAGAGAAAAGTATTTGGATTAGTTGATTGTAAATAAATTCTGAAATTGAAAATATAAGGTTGATAAGTTGTTCTTTTACCGAAATGACAATAATAACCTCAAAAATTAGTGACAAGGCACAAGTATCCCTAGACTATCACCGAAATTTCAGCGATACACCTTAACTAAATTAAGATTTTATTACCCTCTGAACTCATTTTTTTAGTAATTTTGAACACCTATTTGGCCTACGTGGCCTCCAAACATCTCCCACGCGCCTCACCTAAGTGGAGTCACAAAAGTGTCATGTAAGCCAAAAGGTGTACAAAATTACACAAATAATGAGTTCAAGGGGAGGGGGTAATAGGACCTTAGATTAGTTAAAATGTGTTTTTGAAATTTCGGTCATAGTCTAGAGGTACTTATGCATTATCCCTAAAAATTATAAATTTAAAAGTATATTTACATGTGCACCCCAACTTTAAAGGTGAGTCCGCTTGCATTGCGAAATTACCTACTAAAATCATTAAGGTATGCTTGTGATGGCTTCATGTCACGATATTTTTTTTTTAAAGGAAGGTCTTTTAGAAATATATTAGGATTATTCATAATGGCATCGTGATGTGTTATGAGAACAAAGATTAAGGTGCGAATGGAGCTCGATTGCGTCGCAATCACCCCAACTATATAAGTATACGAGGTGACATCTTAATGTTCGTAAAATACTATATATTTTGATGTATGTTTATATTACATGTTCTTGTTGCAAAATCGAGGAAGGATAATTCTTTTTAAGATGAGTGGGAATATATTGTTCAATCAATTCAACTTAACTTACATTTTGTTTTATAGTATCTAGGTATTTATAGGACTAACTTAGCATGTATCTAGCCTAATACATGTATCCAGATGCATCATTAGGGGAAGATCCAACCTGTTAGTTACAAGTTCAGTCAAACTCAATAACTTTAGTTCATATCTTGAATTTGTAAAAAGAAATACATTGAATATGTAATAAATTATTAATTTAGAATCCACTAACGTTAAAAAAATAAAATTGAACCCACAAACTTTAAATTCTGACTCTATTTCTATATATCACACAAATCAAAAAACTCTTTTTTTTTTTTATCCCAACACACATTCAGTGATTACTTGAGACCTTAATTCTTTTGGCACCGCCTTGTTTTTCATCTAATTTGTTATAGATGCTCCATATACATTAATTGGTGGAATTTGTATTTTATATGGATACTTATATGATATTTATGATTGAAACTCATATTTTGTTTAAAATTTCATAATGAAAGCAAAAGACGACCAAATATTATAGTTGGATCATCTTATTATGCTTAAAATAGCTTAAATATTGCATCGAATGTATTGAGTTTCTATGGGAGATAATGTGTTGCGTGATCGATCGATTGATCACGCCTTCACAAATTTAGGAGTAAAGTGTACATATACTTGATTTTAATGCTGTCATTTCATTTGTGTCCATTTTTGAAAATTTCTTGCACGTGTTTCATTTTGGGTTAAGTTCAGAATTGCTATGTCTAAAATTTTATATGACTGAAGTTCAGATACATATAAATATTGGTGTCCGGTGATTTTTTTTAAAACCTTTTGTAGGATATGCCAATAAATATAGTAAGCTAGCATTTGATTATAAATTTTTAAACTTATCTTGAAATACTCTCTCCGTTTTAGTTTATTTGTCATACTTTCTTTTTCAATCTAGTTAAAAAAATATATCTTTCCTTTTTTTTAAATTCTTTAATCTAAACTTTTCCACATTATATGTTTAGGACCCTAAGATTGAAAGATATTTTAATACATTCTCCATATTTTTAATTTAAAACCACAAGATAATTATTTTTAAAATCCGTGTTAAGTCAAAGTAGTACAATAAAATTGAAGCATAGGGAGTATCTGGTTGACCATGAAATATGATCAGATTTTGAAAATCTAATCTTCAAGTGGTTTCAAATTTCATTTTCTAAAAAGAGAAGTATTGAATACACTTCTAAATTTGGCACAAATTATTAATTTCGTCCTTAAACTTTTGATAACTTTAAAAACACATCTATACTTGACAAATTAAGCTTTAATACACCCCTCTCATTTCATACACAAAAACGTGTCATTCACGAACTACACATGATTTTTTCCCTTCAATATTACTACATAGTAGAAGAGTCTACAAGCAGGCATGTCTAGTATGACAAGGGTATTTTTGAAATTTTCTATGTTTTCCTTCCTTCAGCCTTTGTAATCTCTTGCTTTAAAGGTGTATCTTTTCTTTATTAGACCAAAAAATCAATTAACATTTACATAATGACTCATATGTCCTATAAAAAATTACCACTGTTTTGTTGAACTGTGTGGGCCCAACTCATGGGCTCACAAAACGGAGGGAGTAATATTTTTCATTACTATTTAGTTTTTTTTTGTATTAAATTTATTTCTCTTATTCTTTTTGTTGGTTATAACTTTAAAAATTATATAAATAATATTATAAATCACAATAATTAACAATATAAATATTTAAAAGTTATATAAAAAAATCGATTGACTCTTGATATTCTATTGGTACCACATAAAATGGGTTAAATGATAAATATATATTATTTGAAATTGACCTGAATATTTAAAAGTTATATAAAAAAAATTCGATTAACTCTTGATATTCTATTGGCACCACATAAAATGGGTTAGATGATAAACATATATTTTTTGAAATTGACGTAAAAAGTACTACAAATTACAATAATTAACAATTTAAAAAAATTAAAATACATATAAAAAAATTACTTGACTCCAAAAAATTTATCAATGCCACATAATTTGGGACATGAGAAATGACATGTATTATTTGAAAATTACGTTAAAAGGGTAATATAAATTACAATAATTAACAATTGAATATATTAAAAGACATAAAAAATGGCCAATTTTTGAAATCTTATATATGCCACCTAAATTGAAACAAAGAGAGTAATATATATTATTTTTAAAATTAAGTAAAAATATAAATTATCATAATTAACAACTTAAAATATTTTTAAAATCATATACAAATTTCGATAACTTCTCAAATTCCATGATATCACATAAATTGAGACAAAAAATTAACATATATTGGTGCAGGTCAATTTTTAAATTTGTTAATAATTCACGCCAAATTTAAGTATTTTTAATACTTGTCTCTTTTTCAAAATCTAGGATCAAACGAGAGCCAAGTATGTCCTTGCAAGTCAAATGGACAACCTCTCAAACAAGGAGTGATTTGACATATAATGATTCTAAGAACACCTGCAAATCACCTATGCTACAACATAGGAAGACGAGCAAATATATTATCCAACCAAATCTTTTATCATAGTTTCAAAGACAAATATAATGAATCAAATAACATTAATTTAGACTTGTTACATCAAAATGGTCTTCTACATGACCAATTTAGCCTCAATCAAATCATCTCCACTTGTGCAAAAATGGGTTCTTTTTCACTTGGAATTCAAACCCATTGCCAGATTATTAAAATGGGGTTTGATTCAAATGTATTTATTAACACTGCTCTTCTTGATTTGTATGGAAAATGTGGTTATGTTAAAGAAGCAGAGCAACTGTTTGATGAAATGCCTGAAAGAAATGTGGTGTCATGGAATGCTTTGATTTCTGGTTATTTGGACACCCATTACCCTGAAAATGCGATTGTGTTGTTTCTTGAAATGTTGAGAGAGGGTATTAGACCGACCCCGTCTAGTGTTTCGGCTGTGTTGGTTGGTTGTGCTCAGTTAGAAGCATGTGAAATTGGGGCTCAGTTTCATGGTTTGAGCTGGAAAGTTGGTTTTGCTTTGAATCTTGTTGTAGGGACTGTTTTGATTGATATGTATTTGAAGTGTTTTGATCTTGAGACTTCGAGGAGAGTTTTCGATCAAATGACTGAAAGGAATGTTATTACTTGGACATCAATGATTACTGGTTATGCGCAAAACCGGTGTCCTTTTCAAGCTGTGATTTTGTTCAAGGAAATGTTGAGGTTGGGAATTAGAGCTAATTGTGTTACGTATACGAGTTTGTTAAGCTCGTTTTCTTGTTCAGATTACTTGGTTCATTGTGAGCAGGTACACTGTCATGTAATACATCAATGTTGTAAGACTAACCATTACTTGGTGGTATCGTTGCTGTCTGCTTACTCAGGTTGTAGCTGTAGCTTAGAGGATTTCCGTAAGTTGTGTTCTAACGTTGTGAAATGGGATGAGATCTCCTGGAATGCAGTTATTTCCGGTTTCTCTAATTTAGGAGTCGGTGGAGAAGCGTTCTCCTGCTTCTCAAGAATGAGGTGGGCTGGTTTTACTGTTGATCATTACACTTTTGCGAGCATTTTGAAAGGAATAGGGAGCATTTCAGGCCTGGAGGAAGGAATGCTGATCCATTGTCTAGCTCTGAAAACAGGATATGCTTCTGAAGTTATCATACAAAATGGGCTTCTTTCCATGTATACAAAATGTGGTAGACTTGAAGATGCCGAGAAAATATTCTCATCAATGGAGGAACGAGACCTCATATCGTGGAACTCACTTCTTACAGGCTGTGCACATCATGGTTATGGTAGGGATGTGATTGTAATGTTTGAAGAAATGAGGAGATGTGGTATTAAACCAGATCTAACCACATTCCTTATTGTTCTTTCGGCATGTAGACATGCTGGCCTGCTCGACGAAGGGCTTAAATATTTTGATCTGATGAAGAATGACAATTCTCTACCACCACCAAAGCTAGAGCATTATGCTTGCATAGTCGACCTGTATGCCCGTGCTGGTCATCTACGTGAAGCAGAGGACTTCGTCAACAATATGCCAATAGAACCAGGACCTTCGGTTTATAAAAGTCTACTGAATGCTTGCCAACTACACGGTAATAAGGGACTTGCTGTGATTTCTGCCAAGAAGCTTGTTGAACTTTGTCCCAACGATCCTGCAACGTACGTATTGCTAGCAAATGTGTTAGCATTGGAAGGGAATTGGAAGGACGCGGAGGGACAGCGCAAGCTTATGTTGGATAGAGGATTGAGTAAGAAACCTGGTTATAGCTGGCTATAATTCACAATAGGGTGGTATCATTACCAATTGACATGGTTCGAATTCTACCGCAGACAAAAACTTGGTATTTAAGTGAAGAAAGATAAACGGTCAGGTCCATTATCCACCGAGTTTCCATTCGTGCAACACTGGCTCTCGGAGATTTCTCAATTATCTTTTTGTCTCAACAATTGTAGGCTACTAAAATTGGAACCAATCTGTACATACTAGACTCTCATTTGATTCCTGTAGGTACATGTTGATTAGGCTGACAATGAGAGAAGGGTGAGTTCTTAATTCTTTATATCTAGAGGTGGCAAAAGTAGCTCATGAAATCATAATCAGCTCAATCCGTACAAGTTTGAATTGATTATTGACTTGTTCATTTATTAGCTCAATCCGTTTGGACTCTCTAACTCAAATTGATCCACGGAAATTTTTGTCAAGTTTTTTTTTTCTTTCAAAAAACTCCTTTTTTTTATTTTTTATTATGTACTAAAAATTATAAAAGAACAAATCAATTAAAACTTAGTAACAAATGGATGCATTGGGTTTTGATCCACTTTTTTAGCCCATTTTAGCCTAATTTATTTTAGTCTAAGTAACTTTTGAGTGGATCAATAACCCATTTATTTATTAAATTAATTCATTTTTATCCATTCAAATTCAATCAAACTCGACCATTTGACACCATTCCCTCAATTTGTAGATGAACATGACACACTTTCTCTTGTACTTTTATTTCTCTGCTTCTTTGGAATTTAAGATTCTCTAATTTTTCTGTTGTTTCTCTCCTAGTTTATAATTAGAAGATCTTGTTAAATTTCGAGGAGTAACAAAGATACTTTTAATTATTTTACTATAGGTCAGATACTTTTAAGGACAGTATCAATAATATCATTATCGCGCAAAATTTAAATCACTTTCTGCATAATTATTTTCAACAGATATTTAGTTATTATCTGTTCCAGAAAAAAGCTGGATCACATGTTTTTTCAAATAGATAAGGGTCAACTACCAAAATAAATGGCACCAGAAAACGTTATGTACTTATTTTTCTTTCATTTTTACTTGTCGTATTACACTTTATCAAAGTTAATTTAATTAATATTCAGAGTTAAATTGAATTAGATTAATTTAATATTTTTAACTCTTAATTTAGATGCTCAAATATTATAAGAAAAGCACTACAAGTTGTAATCCTTTTCATATTGATAATTTGATATGATGAAAAAAAATACATTTTAAAATGTTAATCAAAGTTCATGCACTTTAACTCTCGAGAAGAAAAATGTAACAAATAAAAGTGAACGAAGGGAGTAGTTTGAAGGTGAAGTGGTGAGATTATTTCACCCTTAACTGGAGGTTTTCAGGTTCGAACTCTGGATATGAAAAAAAATCATGCTAGGAGCGTCACTCCCGAATGTGCTCCTACTATGTGCGATCCAGATTCCAGACGCCGAACAAAAAATAACATAAAATAAAAATATTGAGGCAAAGTACCGTAGGTGAGCAAAAAAATCTAATTGATAATTATTACTCAGCAACCTGAGAAAAACGAAGAAACTTTACAGGTAAATTTAAAAACAATTTTTACCACAACCAAATCTAATCATTCCTCAAAAAATAAAATAAAATAAAATAAAATCAAAACCAAGACCAAAACAAAGTACAGTATCTCCCCCGGGGAAGAATTATTCAAATTTTGAGAGTCAAACAATTTAATTTTAACGATGAGTTTGAGCTTGAACTTTTCAAGTTTTTTTAACCTAAAATTTACATATTTAAAAACTACATAAAAAAGTACTTTAAACTATAGTAATTGATAATTCAAGATATTCAAATAATAAGGGATAAGGCACAAGTACCCCTAGACTACGATCGAAATACTAGACACACATCTTAACTAAACTAAAGTCTTATTACCTCCTTAACTTTTTTTTTCTTCGTAATTTTGTATATCTTTTGACTTACGTGGCACACTCCGTGACTCCACGTAGTTGAGGCGCGTGAGAGATATTTGAATGTCACGTAAGCCAAAAAGGTGTACCAAATTACAAAAATATAATTACAAAAAAAATGGGGTTGAGAGGGTAATAGGACCTTTGTTTAGTTAAAGCGCGTGTCTGAGATTTCGGTCATAGTCTAGATACTTCTACCATATCCCAATAATAAATGAAAAAATTACATTAAAAAAATAATTTGTTGAATCTTAAAATTTGAAAGGTTGCATTAGCATCTAACAAAATGTTATGGAAAATTTGCATTATTTTTGTACCAATTAGAAACGACTGGCTTGAAATTTTCTTTTGTAGATAAAATTTGACGTGGCATTATTTCATTGGAAATCCACTTTATTCCCCATCCAAATGGACAAAATTGTTCAATCCAAAAACTGTGTTCTGAGACCAGAATCAAATGCCACAGATATAGAATTTCATTTTTAAAAAAACACAAAATTTTCATGCAAAATATAGTAACTAAATAGAAAGAGTTAGCAATTCATCTGCTATCTCTTTCCAAAAATAAAATAAAATTCATATCTCATGGCTCCAACTCTTACTTCAAATTCATTTCTCCTTTCAACTACACCTCATCCAAGATTATCATTCAAAAATCCAAGATTCACTGTTTCTGCTAAAAAATCTGGACAAAATCAAGAAACTACAAACAATTCTGGCAACCCCTTCAACTTTGATTTCGGTAATTAAAATTCGAATTGTGTGATCATCTCATCTAATATTTGATCTATTTTATTTTTCGTAATGTTGAACTGTGTGACCGTTTCATTTGAATTTACTTAATTAGTGTTTTTCTTATAATGGGTGAGACTGAGACTTGAATGGAAAACTTATGTTTTGCTCTAATGTCATAGTTGTGACTTGAACCGCTAGGCGTCTGCTTGTTCTGATACCATGTTGAATTGTGCGATAATTTAATCTAACTTTACTTAATTATTTTTGTAGAAGTCTTTCTTTAATTTGATAATGGGTGACAATGAGACTTGGACGCAAGACTTATGTTTGCTCTAATGCCATATTTGAGACTTGAACAATAGACGTCTGCTTGTTCTGATACCATGTTTAATTAAGTGTCCGTCTCATCTAAATTGACTTTATTATTTCTGTAAAGTTTCTTTTTGATTATGGGTGACAGTGAGATTTGAATGCAGGACTTCTGTTTGCTCTAATGTCGTATTAAGACTTGAACAGTAGATGTCTGCTTGTTCTAATATTATATTGAATTGTGCGGCCATTTCATTTGGATTTACTTAATTATGTCCGTAAAAGTGTGCTCTGGTGTCTATTGAATTGTGTTACTGGTATTATCTAAAAGATTAGAAGACGAGCACACTTTTAGTTACTTAATTATACTGTGTTTTCAACAGGTAAGTTGCCTGATGTGACGTCTTTGATACCTGCTAGCACGAACACATCTTCTGGATTGTCTTTTGGAAGGCAAAGGGCAAAGGATCCTGGAACAGTGTTTGTTGCTGGTGCAACTGGGCAAGCTGGTATCCGCATTGCACAGTTGCTGTTGCGTGAAGGTTATAGTGTCAGAGCTGGAGTTTCTGACCTTGGTGCTGCACAAGAGCTAGCTCGTCTAGCCGTTAGCTACAAGGTCAGTCTCTTTGTCCTTGCAAAATACGGAACTTGTTAGAGTACTGGACATTGGTTGTGGGAATGAACTATTGTCATATATGGTTTTGGGAAATATTAACTCATGAGCTAACGTTTTGGTTGAATTAGGTTCAAGGTCCATTTTTCTCTATCAGAGTCATCTTTGTTTGTTGTGTTTCACAATATTGATCCTGGATGTTATATCGTCCACGATCTAGATGTCCAACTTCGTGAGGGAGGGGAGAGGGAGTGTTAGAGTGTCTCACATTGGTTGAGGGAATGGGTTGTTGTTTTCTGACTATACATGTTGCATCATTGCAGGTAATCTCTAACGATGAGTCAAAACGCCTGAATGCAGTTGCATCCACATTTCAAGATGCAGAATCGATTGCAAAGGCAATCGGAAATGCTAGCAAAGTTGTGGTTACTATTGGTAAGGGAGAAAACGGTCCTGCGACTGAAGTCACCACAACAGATGCTGTACAAGTTATACAAGCTGCACAATTAGCTGGTGTTGGGCATGTGGCCATAGTCTATGATGAATCTTCTTCAGGAGGTTCTACATACAATGTGCTCGACGGAATTACATCTTTCTTCAACAATCTGTTCTCAAAATCTCAACCGTTGACGATAGCAGAGTTTCTGCAGAAGATAGTGGAGACAGATCTAAGCTATACACTCATAAAAACCAAATTAACAGAGGATTTCTCCCCTGAGAGCTCATACAAAATTGTTGTTTCAGCTGAAGGAAGTGCTGGTGCTGACGCCTATAAAGTAATGTAATGTATGCAATTTCTTTTAATGTTGAACATGTTCATATATTCTATTGTGGATTTAGTCACATGACATACTCTTCGGTTTATTGGTTCCTTTTTCTGCTTTCTACACATGTTAAATAGATCGAAATAAGCTAAGTCATCACTTATGATCTCGTGTTTTATGTCAATCATCAGGTGGGGAAGTCTCAGATAGCTAAGCTCGTTGTGGATGTTTTCTCCAACACAGCGGTGGCAGAAAATAAGGTAGTGACTGCTCCTCCTTTTAAGTAAAGCAACATTACAACAACTACAAGTTGGGGTCGGTTATATGAAGTCTCACTCTCATGTTGCTCCAATTAAGCCCGTCTTAGTCCAATATTATAACATTACAATAAACGTTGATTACCGGATTTAAATTGACAAGTTCACTAAGATAAGAAAAAGTTCAAATGAAATGAATTTATGCAAGTGAACCTTTACTGGTCTTCTTTAGTTATAATGTGGATGTTCAACCACTGGAATTATTTCTTTGTACAGGTTGTGGAAGTCTTTGCTGATCCATCAGCACCATCAAAGACTGTGGATGAACTTTTTAGGTAAATACCTCTTTTCCTCAATTGCTGCATTTCCAAATTTCGGTGATACTAGTGCTCGTAAGAATGATTTCTCTAGGTGTTTAACTTTTACGTACTAAATCTGAAAGTGTAAACGAATCATCAGATCATCTAAAAGATAGCTACAAGTAAGCGTCCATAAAAAGTGGGATTAGTAATGGGGAAAATAAGATAAGAGTTCCTGCTATAAAACAGGTTAAACTATTTCTTTTCACTCTGTCAGCACAACAACAACATATGGTCCCAACATAGTGTCGTCTAGGGAAGGTAGAGTGTACGCAGAACTTACCCCTACCTTATTATATAGGTAGAGAGGCAATTTCCGATAAACCATCAGCTCAAGGAAAAAAAAGTTCAAAGAAAGAAATAACGGAAGTACAAGAAGCAACAAATTATAACAAAAACAACAGATAGTAACAGAACAGAAACTACAACAAAACAATACAATAAGTATATACAGAGATTTATCCTCTTTGTACCAGTTCTGGATGCCATATAATCTAAATGAGTGAAACATTATATACACAGCGTCATTCCTGAGGATGGTCGGAGAAAGGCCTATGCAGAAGCCCTTGAAAAATCGAAAGCTGAGGTAGAAGCTCGAGGAGCTGCTGAAGCATCCAAGAGGCAGGAACAAGAAGCAAAGAAGCTCGAAAAGAAAGAAGCAAAGGCTGCTGCTAGCATTGCAAAGGAACCTGAAGAGAAGGCGTCATCACCTTCCATTCCTTCTGTTGAAAGTCTACTAGACAAAGCAAAAGGCTTAAGTACAGGATTTTCATTTGAAAAATTCAGCTCACAACTCAAATCAGCTGTTGAAAAGGCCAACGAGGAATCAGACGCTCAAGTTGCTACCGTTAGGGGACGTGCCAAGGCCAAGAATTTGCCTGCTCAGAAAGCAGTGGTGAAAACTCCTCCAAGGAATCCATTTGCTTCGAAAACGAAGGAGGCTCCGAAACCAGCTAAACAAACAGAGGTTGCTGCAACAGAGAAGAGGAAGATTTTTGGTGGACTGTTCCAACAAGAAACCATCTATGTTGATGATTAAGATGAATGGATAAGAGAAGGACAAAATATTAATTTTCTATATATCATTTTAGCCTAATTATGAGGTTAAAACAATGGCTTAACTGAGGCTGAGTGAGAAAGCATGTAAATCCCTGCACATTTTCTGTGGATCTTAGTGTATATTTGCCTCAAATGCAACATTTAAGGCACTTGTTCATTTTTGTCGATCACTTTCAAATAATGTTTACTCTGTCGATCGATACATAGAACTTAAACTCATTGTAGGTAGGTAGTAAGTAACCTGCTATAACAAGTTAAATTATCGCTAATCAATGGAGAAGCTACATAGGGTGTACTAATGTATCTTTATATTGGAAAATAATATTAGTCAACTATTAGATTGATTGAGCCCCGCAACTTTAAATTAGGCACATGAGTACTCTTGAATGAAAATTAGCCGTTCAATCAAAGAAGTCAAAAAAAAAATTCACATGTGACAAAGATCAAATTATATACCTTGAAAAGAGTCAAATATACCCCTACATGTATATTTTTTTATAAAAAAAATCAAGAAAATAAATTTAAAATCAACATTTTCACTTTTATTAGACGAAAAGGATATATGTGGACCATTTGTGTAACGGAAGGAGTATATGTGGCCACTTTTATAATAAGTGGTATATCAGCTCTAATTCGCAAAGTTGAAGGATATATCAAATCCTTTTCCCTATAATTTATAAGTCCTACCCTATGTTCTTGTTGGCAATAGTCAGATTTAGAGGTGTACATGACCGGGTTGGTTCGAGTTTTTCAAATACCAAACCAAACCATTGTGTCGAATTTTTAAATTTATAAATCAAACCAAACTAATGAACCGCATATTTTTCAGATTTTTGGATTTTTTTTGGTAAAGTTTGCATACAAACATATAATTAACTTGTGCTCCAAATATTTCTTTAGTCCAACCAAAATACAATTATCTAAGGTGTTTCTTAAAAAAATAACACAAAATATGAGATGTGTACTGATGACACAAAAATATTCAATAAAAAATAATAATGAAATCATCATATAAAATAAATATTGCAAAGTCGTAATGAAAATGATCATAATTTAAAAGTACTAAATCATGCTAAAATAAGTTGGAAAAATGCATAAGTACCCCCCAGCCTATGCCCCAATTCTTAGTGTTGAATTGATTTTCTTTTTGCATTAGTATTAATTTGATTTTGATTTAAGTTTTATTATAATTATCAACATCTATGAACTATAATCTTTATTGGACCATTCCGAATTCTAAGTTTTAAACTTGAAATAATATATTAAAAGATAAAACTATGAAATAGTATAAGAAATATTTTAAAATTATATCAAAGTAAATAATTTTATGTATAAAATAAAATTTTAAAATTACATATATAATGTCGGGTTGATTTTTTTAAGTTAAAACCAAACCAACCCAAATATAGTCGGATTTTTTTTTCCAATACCAAACCAAGTCAAACCAAACCACTAGTCGGGTTTTTTTTTCCGATTTGACTCGATTTACGGTTTGGTTCGGTTTTCGGTTCGATTTTGTACACCCCTAGTCAGATTTATGCTAGTTAACAATATAAAGTTACCTTTGGCAAATTTTCCAAAATCTCACTAAAATAAGCAATGTTCAATGCTAAAAGTGTTCATAGCAACAAGAAGAAGTTATTCATGAATCCGTAAGTACTCCTCCATTCTTAAATAGAAGTATCGGGTTTTAGTCCCTGATATATAATATGGAGTCACCTTTGGTAGGAAATCCTTTATCTCCCAAAGTAGCGCACAATTCTGGATTAGTCAGACTCGGAAAAAAAAAGTGTGTATAACTCGTGCATTTGGCTTAAGGGCACGAGAAAAACTGAACTACTTTTAGTACTACACATCTCTTTTGTTACCTTTTCACATTTAATTCAACACCTTACTTTATTAGATAGTTTACACGAGAAAAATAACATGTCTCATTATTAACATGAACCTTGTGTTATCCTTATGACCAAACCCCATAAAATTCTACTTTAAATTTTCAAGCTTTCACTCATTACTTATAATTACATCAAATCACATTATTTTCTTCAAGAAATTGGTATCCCTTGATGGTTTTCACAAACTTGATTTCTCTAATTCGACGTAAGATTATGCAATTATCCGTTTTATTAAGTGGAAAATTATGCAAATCATTGTTAATTTCAGGACTAATCCTCTATGTAATCCACATTTTGCTATCTAACCATCCATGTAGCAACTCAATCACTATATTCAACAACTTGATGAGTTTCAAAGGTCATGACATTACACAAGATGATACTCATACCAATATTAGCCATCTAGTATTCGGAATAACAAGCTCATCTAGAACATGGAAGAACAGAATATCCTACGTTGAATCCTGGTGGAAACCAAACATAACACGTGGATTCGTGTTCCTCGAGAGCTTCCCAAAAGATCATCAATTGCTTCCATGGCCTTACTCTTCTTGTCCACCTTTCAAGGTCTCAGAAGACACCTCGAGATACAAAATGTACGATAAGCATCCAATTCAACAAACCATACGAATGGCTCGCGTTGTAGAAGAGACATTCAAGATGGAGAACAAGAGTGCTAGATGGTACATTATGGCTGGTGATGACACAATTTTTTTCATAGATAATTTGGTTGAGGTTTTGTCAAAGTATGATCATAGGAAATATTTTTATGTTGGGATGAATTCAGAAACACATGCATCAAATGTTGCACATTCATTTAATATGGCTTTTGGTGGTGGTGGTTATGCTTTTAGTTATGCACTTGTGGAGGCTATGGTTGAGAATTTGGATATTTGTATCAAAAGGTATCAAACTTATTATGGAGGTGACCATATTTTGCAGTCATGTGTGGCTGATTTAGGTGTCTCTCTCACTCAAGAAAAGGGCTTCCATCAGGTATTTTTAACGAGCTTAAGTTATATACATCGTTATTGTAATTTTTTTGAAAAAAGATAAGGTTCAAGTAGAAGTGACAAAACTAGTCCGTGAAATTATAATCGGCCCAACATGCTTGAGTTTGGGTTGATTATTGACTCGTATATACATATATTAGTACAGGTCATTTTAGTCTATCAAAAGCTGGGCTGGTATATATGTGACCCAAATTGATCTATGAGAAACTTTATCAAAATATTTTTAAAAAGATATTTTATTTTATTTGATATGTTATATATAGTCACAATAAAGAAAAATAATCATTTTATAAAATACTAGAAGACTTTGTAAGAACAAAATAACGCAACTAAAAGATTATAATATATAGGGGAAATGCTCAAATATGTCACTGATCTTTGAGAAAAGGTTCCTCTATGCCATCTATTAAAAATTTGGCTCATCTATGCCATTTTCATTTGCGAATAATGGCATGGATGGACCTTTTTTCAAACGGAAATGACATAAATAGTCAAGCTTTAACGAATGACATAGATGAGTCTTTTCTCAAAGTTTGATGACATGTTTGAGTCTTTTCCCTAAAATTTATCTATCTTGTTTTTTACCCTTTTTTTGTTCCTCGTCTTGTGTCTGACTCACATGTTGGACCCAATTTATATAAATTTATGTCCGAAAATCCCATCCAGGATAAACCGCTCTTTACCAAAGACAACTCCAATATTCTACTCCCTTCGTTTTAAAAAGAGTGACCTAGTTTGACTTGACATGGAATTCAAGAAAATAAAGAAAACTTTTGAATCTTGTGTTCCTAAATTAAATATTTGTCAAATGTACAAAATTATCATTTAATCTTGTGGTCTTAAACATGTCACGTGGAAAGCAGAAATTAAAATGTTACAAAAAATGGAAAGAGGTCATTCTTTTTTAAACAGACTAAAAAAGAAAGTATGTCATCCTTTTTGAAACATAGGGAGTAATATTTAAAATCTCGAGACCTATAATTAAAGATTGTTGTAGTGTTTATAAGTTAAATTCATATATAGCATATTATATTTTTGTTATTGCAGATAGACCTACATGGAGACATATCTGGATTTCTCTCAGCACATCCACAATCTCCTTTAATTTCCCTTCACCATCTTGATTATGTAGACCCCATATTTCCCTTCATGAATCATTCACAATCACTTAACCATTTAATGAAAGTTGCAAAAAATGGACAATTTCAATCAAGACTCTTACAACAAAGCATTTGTTATCACAAGCCCAAAAATTGGACATTTTCAATATCATGGGGTTACTCTATTCAAATTTATGAGTCCATTTTTCCACCAAGTTTTATACAAATACCTTTACAAACTTTTATTCCATGGAGCAAATTGTATAAACCTTTCTTTGTTTTTAACACTAGGTTGCCTAATAATAATCCTTGTGACGCTCCACATGTTCTTTTCTTTGAGTCCATCAAGAATATCAGTAGTGGAAGTTATAATTTGGTTACAAATTATACTAGGAGATATTCAAGAAAATTGCCACCTTGTTTATCAAATGGCAATCACTCTGCAAATCATATATCAGAAATTCATGTCCTTTCTCCCATGAAGAAGCTTGACTGGGTGAGTACTTCCTTCGTTTCACAAAGAATGATGTAGTTTGACTTGACACAAAACTTAAGAAAATAAAGAAGACTTTTCAAAGTTATATCAAATAGGTATAATATATAATTATGCCCTTTAACTTGGCCTTAGATCGATCACATTTATGCCCTTCAACTTTAGGTGTGCACAAGTACACACTTAAATTTATATAAAGTTGAACAAATAGATACACACGTCCTACGTAGCATCCTACGAGACAATTTGCTACCTACGTGGTGTCCTATTATTTCACGTAGGACTTATGTGTCTACTTGTTCAATTTTATACAAGTTTAAGTGTCTACTTATGCACGCCTGAAGTTGGAGGGCGTAAATGTGAAATGATGTCAAGTTAAATGACGCATTTATGTATTATGCCTATCAAATATATTAAAATGACATTTAATCTTGTAACCTTAAACATGCCACGTAAAAATCCAAAATTAAAGTGTTGCCAAAAACATAAACGAGTCATTCTTTTTGAAACACACTACAATGAAAAATAGATCCTTCTTTTTTAAACGAAGAAAATATATTATTAACAGTTGTTTTTTTTCTTCTTTTTTCCAGGAGGGTAGTAGGAGAGAGTGTTGTGATGTTGTTTACAAGGCAGAAATGAATGTTACAGAAATCAAACTTAGAGATTGCATGTTGGATGAAATAATTCCATGATTTTTATTTGTATTTTGATATTCCTTGATTGCCAAGACTATGGAAGATTATTTTTTTTGAGTTGACATTCTGAAAATAAAGCTCAATGTGCCTAGTTCTAAACTTTATCATATATAATGAGGATTATTTGCAATTAATTTTTAGAGAAAATAGTCAAATATCCCCTTAATCTATTACCAGATTACCAACTACACACTTATACTTCACGAGAAATCTATTACCTCCCTAGACTATTTTAAAATATAAGTATTTGCTCCCTGAATGCTGAGGTGGCAAAGAAGGTGTAGTTCACTCTCTTTGAGAGAGTGAGAGGCAACAAAAATAATTAAAACTTTAATTTATAAGTATTTCTTTTATTTCATATTAATTTTTTTTGAATTTTGTGTTTACTTTTATTCTTATTTATTTTTCCATTTTTACCTTCTTCCTCTTCTTTCTTTTCCTCTTTAACAGGGCAATTTCAGCTCACCTCCACCACCAGGCCCGCATCATCCATTTATCACTAAGCCAACTCTCATTTTCAAATCACATACTTGTCACCGTAGCTTCACTTCTCACCGATTTGAAAATTTAGCGGTAACTCAAAATTAAAATCGAAGGTCAAAAAGGATTGAACTTTAGTGTAAAAATGGAGAAAAAATCATTGGTAACAAACCCATTAACTTAGAAGAATTTAATAACAAAATCATTGGGTGACAAACTAATTAATGGAGAAAACCCATTTATTGAAATGGTTGCAAGAATCCATCAAACTTCTTAGGTTAACATTGTTAAATCGAAATCAACATTAGTCTCTCTGCTAGCTAACACTGGTATAGTCATTTTGGCTAACTAGTGTTGCTTACTAGTAATTTTTCAAAGCATTATTTTAAGTTCAATACTAGCAGTGGAAGCAGAAGTGATTCCGACGATGGAGTTTCCCATTCTCCTAAAGCTTCAATAAATAACATCGAGATATTGTTGATATCAAATCTCCTCTAAATGTCTAAGCATATGTAGTAGTCATGGAATGTATCCTATCTAAAAATGCATTTTTTAAAATCTGAAAAGCATTGTTGAAGACAAAGAAAAAGAGGAATAGAAAATGAAAAAGAGAAGTAGAAAAGGAAAGATATAAAAGGAAAAAGTATAATAGAGAAAAAGAATTATTTTTTTAATATAAAAAAAGTAATATTACGTGGCAGGGCGCGTGCAGATCACTACTTAGTGCGAATCTGAGTGTTCGATTTTAAGGGGTTATATATTTCATTTTGAAAATGTCTAGGGGGGTAATAAGACTCCCGTAAAGTATAAGTGTGTAGTTGGTACTCTGGTTATAGATTGAGTGGTGATTTGGCTATTTTCTCTAATTACATTAAAATAAAATTAGGTTTATAATTAGAACTTGCAATTTCCTTACCTCTTGCTAACTATTATCTTATTCAATTCAGCATTAACATCGAAATAGTAAACTATGATTGCAGACGTTGAAGATGCCACTCAAATTCAAGCCCTCTCAAGGCTCAAGACGTAATACAATCTACTTTTGCTATACCCTTAATGAAAATCATAGATGACAAAATTGATTAATAACTAAAACATTTGAAAAATAATTTAATTGATGCATAATAGACTGTTGAATTTTATTTGAAAAGAAATGGTATATTTTTATACTAGATTCGCAAAGACTAAAGTAATTGTATTCTAATCATTCACCTTTGGCTTGAAATTGAAAATCATCACTAAAGTATTTGAAGCTTAGCAAATGCATTTAAAAGTGTTGAGTTTACAGCAACGTAAAACATATACCACTCTTGGATATTTCGTCAAATAAGGATACAACTTTTTCAAGTGATTTCGATTTGTATTAACATTGAATATGCAGTGTGATCAAAAGAACTGAATATGAGCTGGAACAATTCTACATTGTACTATTCAACACTTTCATGTCAATTATTATGACCATAAAATAAAATTAATTAAATTATGAAAAGATGCCAATAATACAAAATGTTTTTCAAGAACATAGATGACTGATACGGTCTTCCCAGACTAAACAGAGGTAGGCATTATGAACAAGTCAGAGTTGACAGATTTTATTTGATACACAAAGTGGATCATCATTCCTATATCAGTAGGATAATAATTATAGTTTACCACAACATATCGAGAAAAACACCAAATCAACATATTATCATTGCACATTCCTAGACAAAAAAACTCTGCTTGTCAAGCAAGAAATAAAAGAGGAAACACTAAATCTGAAGTATACATGTTTTTTTCTTAAACAAAACCTATGTTAGGCATAAGATTAAAGTTCTCCAATGAAACATGGCCAGTGCATTTGCTAGTGGTATATTAGCTTTTATCTCATAATTGCACATCATCCTTCAAAAGCAAGAATGGGTGCTAAAGTTAAAATCCATAATGATTTTGGTAACTTGACTCATTTTCAATTTGCAACACCAACTACATTCACAAGAAATCAACATAATCTGAGTCCGCCGAAGAGATCTATCTATACAAATGTTTTTTGATTGATTTAAGCCTAAGTGATGTTGTACATCAAATAATCATCATCCTTTTCTGTTGTAGGTCATCGAATTAATAGGTGGAACTTTTTTGCTCTTGATAGGGTTACATAGTGTGGGGAAAAATAGGTTCACGTGTAGAAAAATAACTTAATGTCTTCAAATTTTAAAGACATAATCCAATCTGATCTCAAGGTTATCTCTATGAAAGATATTTTTCAGGCTAGGAGTGTCCAAATAAAGAGTGCTAGATACTTGAAATGTTCCCTTGCAGAACATAATTGTTATCCAAATAATTAGCCCATAATGTTTCTGTAAGGCCAAAAAAAAAATGAAGACTCCAAAAAATCATGTTCCTTTTTCATTTGAGTATAAAAAGAACATATAATTATGCCCAAAGCCTTGCAAGAACGTCACAGTTGAGTTAAAAGATTACAAGAACTACCTAATGCAATTAAAATGTGTTCTGAATTTTTTTACTGAAATAGACTATAAAATTATTCTACTTGCATCCAACCTCATTGTCCTAAAACAATCACGCATTATACCTCTATTAAGGGAATTTACATTCAGATGAAAAAGTCACACACCAAAGTAGAGTTTAGTCTTATTTCATGATATTATATAAGCCTTTATCCATCGTATAATGTGTTATAATCTAAGATTACCAAATTGATCATATCTTATCCTTAATATGATCATCCTTCCAATTCCACAATTTTCATTATTAGGAGCATGACAACAATCATCGTGTTAAGTTATTGCTTCCAACTATCCTATGGAAAATCCTAAATAATATTCAATTCACAACAAAAACTTAATTTATTGGTGAAGTGTTCTCTAAGTTGTGTTCAATACTACAGTTGCAACTTTTATCCAATACAAATACAACACCAAAATCAGTCGCTGTCCATTATCAATACACAAACTCGAGAACTGAAAATTCTTTCAACATTAATTTGAAGGTTCTGAACAAATGTGGAATTATACCTGAAGGCTTGGAAATTGGAGAACGCGAAATCAATCCTTTTGTATAATTTGACCTGCTTGTTATTCTGAGTTTGCAACTTCAACTGTTGAAATTACTAAATTAATGGTTGTATTATCCTTCAACTGTTCACACATAATACATTTTTAAACTTTTGCCCCTTTCTTTCTATAGTTGATCACAAAAAAACTTAGAGTTTCATTAATTTAAATGCTCGAACAATCTGTTTTTGGTCATAATATCTCATGTGAATTTTCATGATATGATAGATAATATTATCATAATGGAACATCACAAGCCGCAAATTTATATACATAAATGACTCGAAAAATCTATACGTAGATACATCTTAGCATCAAGTAGCACTATAGTTTTCTCCCCGGATTTGTTCTTCAGTAACATCAATTGATTATCAACTACTTCCTCCTGAACTATGATGCAACTTTCTTAAAAGAAAATAAAGGAAGATGGTAACATCTTTGTTCATACATGACATATGATCTGATCAAATTTGGAAAGAGTACCAAAAATTGAAAGGAGATATAGTTATATTCTTCATTATCTGCAATAGTAACCCACAAAATGATTCCTCGGGAGAAAAAATATATCATGGAGTTTGATTTAGTTTTCTTATAACTTAGCATAGGTCTCTTGTACGACACATGTTATTTCTCTGCAAATTGAACTTACAATGGTCGTGTCAATTATGTGGTCATTATATTGGGTATCTGTTAATTCTAAACAAAATAATTTTTTTAGGACTAAATTGATATATAGATTAAATTACGTATCCATAAATTCGAATTGACAAAAAATCACATAGAAGGACCTTTTTTTGTCTTACCGTTTCATGTGCTCCTTTATGTCACTTCCCCTTCCATTTTGGTTGTACCTGTTATCCCACTTTTCGTTTTATTGTCCTTCTGTTTTCAATAGAAGTTTTATCCATGCTCAATCTGGAGAGTAGTTAACTGCCACATTACTTAATTTTAAAACAAAAGAACTCAAAGAACATTAAAGTGTGTAACAAACATGAACACCACTAGGAACTTGAAGTCTACAACAACAGTTTAGTAGAAAGAGGAAGAGACTATGCTTATTCAGTCGAGGCCAAATGTGGAGCAGACTTTGTAAAACTTTTATAATAGTTTAATGCAATGTTCTTCCTCAAACATGTTCTGTACTTATGGACACCTTACAACTGTTTGAAAATGTAGACGAATGGGTAATTTTTGTATTCTCTTAATATCTGGTTTTCTCATAAAAATACCTACATCTCAACCTTATGAGTATCAATTCACCTATAAGGATGCTTATGTAAAGTTCATTTGACGAATCTACGTATTCTTAAGGCTTTGTGTTTAGCCAGACCACTAATGGTGATCTCTCTTATATGGGCCCTTTGTTTCGATTCCTTATTTCCCTTCCGGCTTCATTCATATGTAATCGCAAACATATTATAATCAAAATGTATTTACCATACACATGGGGAAGTCGATTGTTGATTCATGAGGCGAAATCCAACATAGAACATGTAGGATGCAATTACCTACTCCAATTCGTGCCATGAAAGAAATATAAGAGCAAAATATACTTCTTCAATAATTTTGCAACTTTTTGACCAGTCTCCTGTGACTCAAACATATTTTGCCTCAAAATCTCACTTGTTATATGTATCAAAATATGTAGGACTTGTCAACTTCATACACTGCAAAATCGTAGAGTACCTCTTTCAATTGAAAGTACTCAGAGATTCTTAATTCAGCCATTTCAGTGTCTTAAGATTCCATGACAGGTAGTTTCACACATCGAGCCTAGGACGCATAGCTAATGCAAGTTGTAGTGTACATCATAGCTTCCTGGGTGCAGCTGGGAACTTCCACAAGAGCATTGCTAGCAACATTTACTCCATTCTTCTTACTATTCACAAACACTAAAGAGTTCGAGAGATCAAGTAATTTCATGATCCCTTGCTATTTGATTCAATCTTGTGCGAAAACATAAAAAAGTTCAAAGATCTTCAGATTATTTTCAGAAAACAATAGTACTAATATAGTTATTAGCGTCATTATGTAGTCATGTACCTTGACTTGAGTGTCAAAATTTTATCTCCACCGATCAAAAATGGTTTCCACCGAATGTTTCTTAATGCAGAGAGTGCTGAATGCCACTTTTTTCTCTGAAACAGAAGGACAAAAAAGTTAGATAAATAGTAGTAATGCTACTGTAGAATTACACATGCAAGTAAATGAAATACCATTACAAAAAGATCAATAAAATTCTAAAAAACATTTAACTGGTAACCCCTTCTCCACACGGGAACAAAACATTATAGATAAAAAGCAAAAGATAACAATAAGCGGAGGGAAGCCCATACTTCAATTTCATTAAACTTCCAACATTTTTTAAAGCGGCAAACTCTTGGTACTAAGCTCTCTAAGAGATAATTTGATATTATTATTGATTTTCACTACGAAGAATGCACAAAATTTAAATGATAAAATGAAAATTTAATTTAAAAATACCATATATGACATAATAATTTAAATACAAGATAGCAATACAATACATAACATAATGTTTTTTAAAATCACAACAATAATTTAGTAATCCGGCAGGTCGTTTTTAGATTTAACAATATTTGGAAAAAAAAATGTATGATCTAGAAAATTGTTGTGTTTGTGATTGCGGTTGTGCTTGTTGATTTCTATTTTCAGTTTTTCGTAGTTGTTCTTTAAAATTTACAATAAAATATAATTTTTATATTAAATAAAGAATTTTAAAAAATAATAATTTTATATTACATGAAAATTATATAGGGTGATTATTTTGAAAAAAAAAAGAGAAGGGATTTATATTGTGAAATAAGAAAATGAAATAGAAATAGAAATAGAAATAATAATATAATATCAAGGAGAGAAAAAAAGATTCTTTTTTAGAGAGTAAAATAAAGAATTTAGTTGGAGTTGGTTGGCTGGAAAAATAGAGAACTCTATATTTGGAGAGTAAAATAGAGTGTAGGGTTGAAGATGCCCTCAATAGACCTATGTTTGTGCGGAGAAAAATCTAGGGAAAATTATATATAATATCAAACTATTAATTCAAATTAAATGCTATAAATATACTTTGATTTAATTGTACCCTATAGCAAACTATTGCTATTTTCACCACTCTCCCTGTTGGAATCTCGCTCGCCACTCTCGTTTGGTGGCTGTCTCGCTCGCCTCTCTCGCTTTTATACAAACACAAATGTATAAAATGCGTTTGTGTTTGTATAAAGAGAGAGGAAATTGTATATATACATATATTTTCGTTCCTCTCTCCCCTCTCCCAGATCTCGCTCGCCACTCTCCCAAATCTCGCTCGCCACCCTCGCCTCTCTCGTTTATACAAACAGAAACGAAATGTATAAATTGCGCTTCTGTTTGTATAAAGCGAGAGAAAATTGTATATACACATGCAAATACATATATCTTCGTCCTATACACTTATAATTATACAATACAAATCTTTCCCTGTCCAGTTTTCTTTTGCCTTTCTCTCTTTCTCGTTTTATACATACACAAATTATACAATTGATCTTTTGTATACAACTGCTTTCTTTTGTATATGTATAGCGAATTTATACAACTGCTTTCTTTGTATATGTATATTTTTTTTTGTATATGTATAGCGAATTATACATATATATGTTTGCTATGGAGCACAACAATGCAAATTTTGCTATAACATACAAATATAAATTTTGTGTTTGCTATATGTGAAAGTCGCTCAAAAATCTAACATCAAAGAGAAGTACTTACGTGTCTAATAGCCAATCAAATAAGCCCACAAAGCCCAAACTATTGGTGTTGACATAAAGTAATATAGAGTGATAAGATAAAATTACGAAATTATCCTTAAAAAAAATACAACTATTGGTGCATTTTGTACAACTGCATATAGCAGTGTTCGTACACCCTCAAGTGCCACTTCTAATAAAGAGTAATAATTGGAAAATAATATAACTTTTAACTTTTAAGAAATGGTATAGCTATACAAATGTCATTTAGGTTTAAATTCACAAATTTTAAAAATAAAATAAAATGAGAAAACAAAAAAAAATATTCTAAATTTGTGAGTTGTAAGGACTTGATTTTCATTTTCTTGTAAAAATTGTGGGATAATACCCTATTTGGATGTACTTGTTTCACCTATAGACATTTAAAAATATATATTTTAACATGAGTTAGTGTAGGTAAACTTTAGACAAACATGTTCCTCTCCTCCTTTTTCTTGTCTATTAATTAATTAAAATATAATGTTCAACTCATATGTTATCAAAGCGTAGAAAAAAAAATTCCAATAATTTATATATTCAAGATTACACAAAGTAAACTGAAACATCATCTAAAAATAACAATTGTCAGAAGAATTTAATTGAAACAATGATATTCTTTTTAAAATTAAAAGTACTAGATATTTTAGTCGAATCCCAAAAATTGCAACATAAAAACTATAAGTAAACAAAAAAATTGTCAAAAGAAAAAAGTAGGTACAAAATTGAATTGAAAATCAAATCAAATTGCAAATTGAGTCAAATAAAAAAAAATCCGACTAAGGACATCTTCAACCCAAACATCAAATTTTACACCAAATTTGGTGTCAGCACTATTTTAGTGTAAATCAACTTCAACCCACTGCACCAAATTTTACACCAAAAAAAAATATTTTTCTCTCTCTTCATTATTATATTTTATTTCTTATTTCATTTATATTTGAGAAAATAGTCAAAAGCCTCCCTAATCTATATCCGGATTTCCAACTACACACTTTAACTTTACGGGAGTTCTATCACCCCCCTGAACTATTTAAAACTGAAATAATTACACCCTTAAAAGGCCACAACCACATCTATGTTGATCTATGAATTTCACGCGCTTGACACATGGAAATTTGATTAATTTAATATTTTTTTCAATCTTTTTTATAATTCCTTTCCCCTTTCTCCTATACTCTCCCAATTTCTTCAAATCCTAAAGTAACCTCTTCTTCCATTTCCTTCAAATTCCTAAAGCAACTTTACCATAACTTTAAACACCAAAATCCACTGAAATTGGATTGCGAAGAACAAAGATGAACAATGATAGCGAAGCTCATCAAGTGATATTCGAGCTTTATTCGTCAGAGAACATGAAAAACAAACTAACAAGTTGGAAACGTGTCATTTATAGCAGTGTTCCACATGACTTCTTAGAGGACGGAGAAGACTTAACAAAATGATACTTTCTATGTCCTAATTTTCTCTTGATGCTGTGTTCATTTCGAGGTCATTAATTATCTCTGCAGTGTGTGTTACGTAAGATGATGTGAAATTGGTTCATGTTGGTTCTTTAATAAAGAAATTAAGAAAATAAGAGAGAAATACTTTGAGAAAAAAAAATACTACAATGTTATTAAAGAACATTATTTTATTAATAATTTAGTGACATACATTTATAAATATAATTCCTATCCGAAAATAGAAAAACGTGTTACTAACATTTATAGTTATAATATCGTGTGGAATTTTATTTTGTTCTTTTAAGCCAAAGTCTGTAAGCCAATTATTTCCACAAAGACTACAGGTGGGAAAAAGGACAAATATGATACAGTTCTAGTGGAGTAGTACACATTTTTCAGTTTTTCTACCTTGTGTTTATGTAACGTTCTATACATGTGTATTATGTTATATAGGATGTGTGAGTCTATATATTTGTAGATGAAGCATCATCATATGTTTGTGTGATTCATCAATTACTAGTGATCACAATAAAATGGTTTATGACTTTCTAAAGTTATAATAAATAAATATGACATTTAACTTGACCTCAGTTGACATATATGTTCTTTAACTTTGAGTATGCACAAGTAAACACTAAATTTATATAAATTTGATCTAATACACACATTCATCCTACATGACAATTTTGTGTCCTATGTAACGTCCTATATATATGTATTATATCACGTAGAATGTGTGAGTCTACACTTTTTTCTTGATTTTAAAAAAGAAATATCAATATCCACAACAGAAATTCTGATCATAATAGAGAAACTGATCTTTAGAAGAGTCACAATTCTTCGAAAAAGTCACAACTCATCAGGAAAGTCACAACAAAATTTATTTTTAATATAATATAAATAAACAAATAAATAAATATAAATATAAATATAAAATATAGAAAATATACTAAATTGAATATTTTTAGTTGGGGTATTATAGTAATTTAACATTTAAGTTAGATAGTTCATATTTATAAGATAGTACTAATTTTGATGCATTGCACGTGAATGCCAAATCATGTAGTACACTATATTTTAAATTAAATAAATATAATATATTATAGTATATAGAAAATATACTAAATTGAGTGTTTTAAGTTGAAAATATTATAATAATTTAATATTGTTTTAAAGATAATATAGATGGATAGATAGATATATGATGATTAGTCCAACTTTCCATCAACATCTCTTCTTCTGTTTTCACAATACTTTTCAATGAGAGAAACTATTATATGATCAATGCAATTTTTCCACGGAATTTATATAATCATAAAAGGTCAAGACACGTCATTGAACCAATTGTGAGGACAATTGGTATACATTCGGAATAGAGGAAACCAAGTTGTATAAATACATTAAATTTTGATGCAATTTTTCCATGGAATTTATATAATCATGAAAGGTTAATATTCCGAGTTAGTGATTAGTTGTCTCTTCTTCTGTTTTCACAATACTTTTCAATGAGAGAAACTATTATATGATCAAGTCAATTGAGGATTTTAGTGCAATTTTTCCACGGAATTTATATAATCATAAAAGGTCAAGACACGTCATTGAACCAATTGTGAGGACAATTAGTGTACATTCGGAATAGAGGAAACCAAGTTGTATAAATACATTAAATTTTGATGCATTTTTTCCATGGAATTTATATAATCATGAAAGGTTAATATTCCGAGTTAGTGATTAGTTGTCTCTTCTGCTATTTTCAAACTTGTTAGGTACACAATAGTTTACGATCACATTAAGATAATGAGCGAATATCCATCAATATTTCATTCCACCTAAGGAAAAAAGGGATACAGTAATGTAACTAGCGGACGATGACTTGTAAGTCTTTAAGCCAATTTCTTCAAAGATTATATGTCGGAATATAATATCTGCCCGTGTTACTCATCCAACATAACAGTCCACTGCTTAAACACAAAAAAAAAATAAAAAATCGAACAAATATGTCTTTCTTTTAGCTTGTTTTTAAGAATATATTTGACTTTCATGTTCTCTTAAAGAAAGGTCTGACAAAATGTTGAGTTGGAATGTTATGCTACCAACAATTCATCACTATCTGCCAATGTCAAATGATACAAAAATGGAAAATTTGTTCATCAATATTGTTACTTAATTAATGTAAATGAATGTAAATTTCATCTTTAACATTCTTGTTTTAAGCAATTAATAGCAAAAAGTAATGAAGAGAACTAGCCACAATAATTTTCTTATCGTAAAGGAGAATATCAAAAACAAATTTGTGAGTTCACATAAGTTTTTTTTTTTTTGACGTGAGATTAATGTTGTGATTTTGCTTTCATTAAGTCAAGGGTTTATTGGAAACAATTTCCCTATCTAACAATTTAGAGGTAAGATCGGGTACACTCTATCCTCCCTTTTTTTTGTTCATTGTTGTTAGGTTTTAGCTCCACAGAGCGAGCAGAAGAGGAGCCCTCAATTGATTTCAATCTATGCTGAAAGGTCAAATCACTATAAACCAACCAGAGAGAATTTCGATATCATAAATACAGAGGAGTGACACAAAGAGAAGGAAGAGCAATAGTACAGAGTAACTGAACCCAGACTATAATGTTCGATAATCTTTAGACATTAATCAGTTATTTTCTAGTATAAACCTTCACATCACCCATGAATTTCAGCTTGGGAAGAGAATTAGACAGAATTATGAAGACCTGACCGGAAATCGAGTCGTAAATTCAAGCCTGTAAAAATTGAAAGAATTTTTGTAGCGAAGTCTAAAATCTAAAAGAAAATATACCTGGAAGAGTTGGGAAGAATCCATATGTTTAGCTTTAGTTGGAAAGAAATAACTGTATACCGATGATTTCGTCTGGGTTAAAATATCATGCGTTGGATGGTTCTAAAATTAAGGAGAGAGTGCTTTTTTTAAATTTTTTTCAAGATAAAATTACCTTTTTACCCATGTCGTCCTCTTCATCACATTTCTATATAATATATATATATGTATAATAATAATAAAATAATAGATAGAAATATATGATATGATATATATGTTGATGATGATTTCCACAAGACTTGTAAGGAATATTGATGGAAACTCCGTCAGTATTCCACCAAAGTCTTTAAGCCGATTCCACAAAGACTACAGATGGGAAAAAGGACAAATATGACACACTTCAATCTAGAAAATACTAATGACATGATGATGTTACTCCATTTCATCTTCCATATGACAAGAAGGAACACTTTAATCAAGCCAAACCAAGTTGTACAAATACAATAAATTTTGGTGCAATTTTTCCATGAAATCTATACAATCAGAAAAAGTCAATCCGAGTGAGTGATTAGTTGTCTCTTCTGCTATTTTCAAACTTGTTAGGTACACAATATTTTTTCACATTATTAAGTTAATAAGGGAAAATCCATCAATATTCCATTACACCTAAGGAAAAAAGTGATACAGTATTGTAACTAGCGGACGATGACTTGTTAAGACTTTAAGCCAATATCCACAAAGACTAGAGGAAAAAAGAGATTATGATGAATCGGGACTGATGAATAATTGAATCACAAGATGAGTACTACTCACTTCTAACTTGTTACTCATATTTTGTAGTGTTCCACAAGAGTTGTTAGAGGACGGAGAAGACTTAACAAAATAATACTCTCTATGTCCTCTAATTTTCTTTAGATGTTGTGTTCATTTCGAATTCATTAACTATCTCTGCAGTGTGTGTTACGCAAGATGATGTGAAATTGGTCCTATTATGTAGAAAAATTTTCTGCAGAACTTCTTAGAAATTTCAAATGGTAGAAACTATTGCCTGACTAAGTCAAGTGAGGAAAAAAATGAACAATAATTAAAGACATGATTTAAGTCTTTCATTTCCTGCTTAATTATTATGTTTTGAATAACTTGGTGAAGATCATTCCACCTGCAGAGAAATTTCCGATTAGTTGTCTCTTGTGCTGTTTTCCAAGACTTTTCACATTAAGTTAATGAGGGAAATTCATTCTATATGATACAGTTCAAATAGGAAGAGATGGAAAATAACGAAAGTAGTAGAGAGGCTGTTTCCATATACCCTCGACTCAAGATAAAGGTGTAGTGATCAAATAAAAAAATGATGCACAAGCAAAGAAAACTGAGAGACTAATTGTATTGAAATTTGAAGGATCACATTTTTCTGTCTTTCACCTTTATAGATCTAGCGATGATCTAATCAACTCATGCTTTGATGTTTAAAATCAACTCATTATCACAAAGTTGCCACTTCCTCGAGGTTCAGGCATCACTTGAGCATTCATGTTCAATTTTCATTACAAGGATGAACGCGCATTTAAGTCGAAGTGAATGAATATGTCGGAACATAACATCTTCCCGTATTACTCATCCAACATAACAGTCCACTGCTACAGCAACTGCTTAAACACAAAAAATCGAACTTCAAATGCAGATATGTCTTTCTTTTAGCTTGTTATTAAGAATATATTTGACTTTCATGAAGTTATTTGTACCTAAGCTAATATATGACTTCAATTCAGTAGTCGAAGCAAATGCTAAAAATAATTCAGAGGTATCTAACAGATGAAAATAACAAAGAGAAATTCAGACTAAGTAAAACAACTAAAATTTAAAGACTAATATTCATGAGATTATTCCAACAATGGATATTACTTGACAAGTTGGCTCTTCCAATCTTCCATTAATTAAATCCGTCATCTCAAAGCTCTCTTCTTTCGCCATCTATTTTTGTGCGGAATGATGCCTTCAAAAAATTATACAAACCATTTTAGCTTACCACTTTAAACATGAGGCTCCACGTGACAGTTACAACAACTATGACCACTGATTGCCACGTAAATCCACTAGCAAAATACGACTCTTCTTCTTCTTCTTCGGACTCCAATGGACGAGGAACATTTTAAGGATGTTTTATGACTAGAAAGATGAAGTACCCACAAAATTATTAGCCACTTCTGTAGTTTTGAGTATTCTTCTACATCAATTTTCACAAATATAAACTTTCTAATATCAACTAATTTCAATCATGAACCAAACTCTATATGCTTACTGCACTGCTTTTTCCAATTTTGTTGTATTAATGAGCTATGTTGCTCGGACTCTCCTAAAATATGATGATGTTGCAACCATGTTGGTTCCTTAAAAAATATATAACTTTTGAAGAATCCAACACGTACCCGTTGACATTTTTGAAAAATCCAAGTAACATAGCTAATGAGTGGCTGTGTAGATCACTTCTGTCAATTTGAAACAGAAACAAACTAACATAACTTGAATAACCATTGATACTAAAATAACACACATATAATTATGTTTCTAACATATACAAACAACTAATAGAAAATTAAAAAAGACAAAAACAGAACAGTTCACTTATTAGTCCACAAAATCAAACAAAGAAAATTTAGCCCTCTCAATCTTCCATTAAGTCCTTCGTCTCTGAGCTCTCTTCTTTGACCTTCTTTTCTTGTGAGGCATGAGTCCATCAAAAAATTCCACAAACCATTTTGGCTTATGATATTTAAACATGAGACTACACGTGACAGTTCCAACAGCTAGTCCAAAACTGTAGCCTATGACTACTGATTCCTATGTAAATCCACTAAAAAAATATGACTCACCTTCATCTTCTTCAAACTCCAATGGTTGAGGAACATGTGATGAACCACTTGTTTCACATTTCTTTGATAAAGGAGGGCCACATAAATCAAGATTGCCGCCATACGAGTCATTTTCAAATGTGTTGAACTGTAGACCGTGAGAAATTGGTCCGACGAGATGATTTTGAGAGACATTTAAGAAGGCCAGAAAGTTCATTCTTGTCAATTCTTGCGGAATCTTTCCAATAAGCCGATTCCGGGAGAGATCTAAAGCTTCAAGTGTATTCAATTGCCCCAATTCCATTGGAATATGACCTATGAGATTGTTATGGGATAAATTGAGTAGCCAAAGTGAGCTAAGGTCCTTTAGTGTTTTCGGAATGACACCTTCAAAATGGTTGCTTGAGATATCTATGGTTGTCATAATTGTGCTGATTCTTTGTAGCTCAATATCCTGCCCTTTGATTACCAAACTCACTGAATCCTTATACGATGTGTCAAATGACAAATTCGACTTAGATTCAATGTACTTGATCTCTCTTGTGTCTTCGTTATCTAATTTGATCATTGCCTTGAAGTTTCCAAAAACTTTTGCAGGAAGTGAGCCACTTAATTCATTACGAGAAAGATAAAAAATTCGTAACTTGCGAAAGCAAAACTTAGTCTGATCCATGGAACTTGTTCGACTTTAATATAAGAACTTGCAGCTCTTGAAGAGTTCCGAGCCAAGCTGGAAGTGTGTCATTTATAGCATTGTTCCCCACATCAAGGACTTCTAGACCATTACACTTGAGCAACGACACAGGAACAGGTCCTTCAAATCGATTACCACTTACTCTCTATGCAATTATCCATTTTATTAAGTGGAAAATTATGCAAATCATTGTTAATTTCAGGACTAATCATATATGTAATCCACATTTTGCTATCTAACCATCCATGTTGCAACTCAATCACTATATTCAATAACTTGATGACTTTCAAAGGTCATGACATTACACAAGATGATATTGCTACCAGTATTAGCCATCTAGTATTCAGAATAACAAGCTCGTCTAGAACATGGAAGAACAGAATATTGTACGTTGAATCCTGGTGGAAACCAAACATAACACGTGTATTCATGATCCTCGAGAACTTCCCAAAAGATCATCAATTGCTTCCATGGCCTTACTCTTCTTGTCCTTCTTTCAAGGTCTCATAAAACACCTCGAGATACAAAATGTACGATAGGCATCCTGATAAGTGCTTATGCTCCTAGATGTTTTGATCTCCTCACAAGTGCAGGGACCTGGTCCTCTGCAGAGTATGAATACTCGTCCAGTTGTCAAAGTGTTGTACAACTGTAAAAGCTATCCGTGTCAGGAAGTTGGTGAAGTTGTAGAGTACTTCACCAATCAGGAGCGACGAGGTTATTTGTACATTGGACAATAATTCTTCTTGTCTAATAAATTTAACATACAAACAACAATTCATTCATTCATTCAAAGAGAGATATTTTCAAGCTTCAAAACAACAAGGGACCTGATAGAAGTGCTTCTATTTTCTTTCTGTACCAGCTGCTTTTTATATTGTAGGATTCATTTCACTTGTGAAAGAAACGTTTCAAACTTGTGAGAATCATTGTAAGAAATAGGTTAAGGGTAACTTAGTTTCTTACTCTAAAGTCTATATTAATCGGTTAAGATTAGTATAGTGGGCTGTGTTGTATCTGCTCTGGCTCAGCTAAGTGATAAGAGGTATTGCTTAGTGTGGAGATTAACAGGCTAATCTTCTTTTGTAAACTGGCTTTTACTTTTTCTTGAGAAGATTAGTGGAAGCAGTTTGAAAAGTCCTGTTGAGAACATGTCGTGGTTTTACTCCCTTGAGCAAGGAGGTTTCCACGTAAAGTTGTTTGTGCAATCTTTACTTTTAGCATTTATTTTACTGTTTGTCATTGTAACTGTGCTGAGGACCCGGTCCTATCTAAATCGGTGGACGCATACATTCCAACAAATGGTATCAGAGCTTGACTTTTCATTTGGTTAACACCAAGAATAGAAAAGATCCTGAAGGAATGACTACTCCATCCAATATGGAGGAAGGACAATCTTCTACCAGGCCACCTCATTTCAATGGTCAATACTATGGATGGTGGAAGAATCGAATGCACGACTACATCAACGCTGAAGACTCTGAGTTGTGGGACATTATCCTTGATGGACCATATATTCCTACAAAGGAGGTGAATGATGGGGAGCTTACCACTACTGTTGTCAAAACCAGAAAAGACTACAATGAGGCAGATAGGAAAATGATTGAAAAGAACTACAAGGCAAATAATATTCTAGTATGTGGAATTGGAGCAGCCGAATACAACAGAATATTTGCTTGTGATATTGCCAAGAAGATTTGGGACTGTCTTCAAACAGCCTATGAAGGAACCCGACGAGTGAAATAGTCTAAGGTTGATATGCTCACCACTCAATACGAAAATTTCATTATGAAGGAAAGTGAAACCATCTTTGAGATGAACTCAAGATTTACCTCTATCACCAACAAGCTGAGAGGCCTGGGTGAGCCTATTCCTGTTAGCAAGCAAATTCGCAAAATCCTCAAAGTGCTTCCTAAATCCTAGGAAATCAAGGTGGATACCATAACAGAAGCCAAAGTTCTAACGACTTTTCCCATGGATGAACTAATTGGGAATCTTCAGACCTACGAGATGAACAAGAAACAGGGGACGACTGTGAAGGAAGGAAATAAGGAGAAGACCATCGCTTTGAAAACCTCTCAAAGTGAGGTGACTGAGGAAGAGGATGAGATGGCGTATGTCACTAGAAGATTTCAAAAGATCATAAAGAAGCATGGGGTTTCCAAAAGAAAGCCTCTACCAGTAGAACTGCTACTGCAAATGATCTGTGCCATAAATGTGGCAAGCCTAGTCACTTTATGAGGGACTGTCCCTATCAAAGGCAAGAAACTCATGACACCAGACCTCGTAAGAGGGACCTGGTCCCAGACAATGTTCGGAGAAAGGCTCATGCTGATCAGTTGGTGAGAAAAGCCTTTGTTGTATGGGGAGATGATTCAAGTGATTCAGAAGAAGATGCAGAAAGCCATGAGGATGTATCAATGATGGCCATTGAAGATGACGAAAATGTTTTCAACTCCATCTTCTCCTTGATGACTAAATCTGATGATGAGAAAGATCCAGCTGAGGTAACCCTTTTTGATCTTAAGGATGATCTAGATAATTTTCATGTTGAAAAATTGAGGAAATTTGCTGCCCTACTTATTGATTCTGTTGATGAACGAACCATTAAAAACTTAATGTTAAATGAAAATTTAAGTTTGTATGAGGATGAGAATTCAACTCTCATGTCTCAAGTTTCTAAGATGAGTGTAAGGATAGGTACTCTAGAAACTAGCAACATAACTCCTAAGGAGGATCCTGGTACTTCAGAGAGTGGAAAGAGAAAGCTTAGCATCTTTGAGGAAGAATTGGAAGAAAAACTTAAAATTTCAGAGTCTAAGCTAGTTTCTTCTCTTGAAACTAATTCCCAACTGAGAAAGGATTTGAGTAGGATCAAGGAGGAGCTAAGCCACTCTCTAAAGTGGACTGATTCCTCTAAGATACTCTCTAATCTGTCTAATCAAAGTTTCAATGGAAAGAAAGGGCTGGGATGCAGACCAATAAAACCTCCCTATAATCCTCATAGCAAATATGTGTCTATATCTAACAATCTGTTGTGCACTCACTGTGGGCATAATGGTCATCTAAAAGAAAATTGTGAGAATTTGAGAAGAGCAAAAGAAAAGCATGTGAAATTTGTCAGATCTGAAAACAATGATAAAAAGGAACACAGGGGACCTGGTCCCCGTTATCGTTTTAGTAAGAACACTTTGCCCTCCTGGACAGAAAGGTTTCTTATCAAGCATTTTGATAGTTATTGGGAACTCCGTTTGAAGTGGGTTCCTAAATCTAACAAGTGATTCTTATGAAGAAGAGAGGAATAAGTCAGTGCTGGTATATGAACAGTGGATGCTCAAGGCACATAACTGGAGACATTTCAAACTTCCTCTCTTTGAAAGTACACCAAGGTGGTGGTGTGTCATTTGGTGGTGGAAAGAAGGGCCCTATCCTTGGTATTGGCAGGATAGGGAGATCTGCTGATAATTCAATAAACAATGTACACTATGTGAAGGGTTTAAAATACAATCTTTTGAGCATTTCACAAATCTGTAATAAAGGAAATGAAGTCAAGTTCATGGCTAATAAATGTTTGGTTACAAATCGCATTACCAAAAGGGTTGTCATGCCTGCCACTAGAGTTAAAAATATGTATGTTGTAGATCTGGATTCCATTGAGGGAGATGATCTGTCCTGCTTAAGTGCTCAAATTGATGATGCAGATCTGTGGCATCGGAGACTGGGTCATGTGAGTATCTCGTTACTGAACAAACTTGTTATAGGACCTGGTCCGCGGATTGCCAACACTGAAGTTTTCGAATGACAAAGTCTGTGATGCATGTGCTAAAGGGAAACAAACTAAGTCATCATTCAAAGCCAAAAAGGGAGTCAGTACAACGAGACCTCTAGAGCTGCTTCACATGGACTTATGTAAACCTATCAGAATCCAAAGCAGAGGAGGTAAGAAATATATTCTTGTCATTGTTGTGATTTTTCCAGGTTCACTTAGAACATGTTTCTGCGAACGAAAGATGAGATTGCTGAACAACTAATCACATTTGCCAAAGCCATCCAATTGAAGATGGATTGCAAGATAGGCAGTATCAGATCTGATCATACGGAGTTTGAATACTCTCTACTTGAAGGGTTTTGTGCAGAAAATGGAATCAATCACAACTTCTCATCACCAAGAACTCCTCAGCAAAATGGAGTGGTTGAAAGAAAGAATAGAACTCTGGTGGAGATTGCTAGAACTATGTTGATCGATTCAGGACTTGCAATGAATTTTTGGGCTGAAGTAGTTAATACAGCATGCTATGTGACAAACATGTGTCTTATCAGATCTATCACCAAGAAAACACCTTATGAGCTATTAAATAACAAAAAAACCTTCAATTGCACATCTTAGACCATTTGGGTGCAAATGCTTTGTGTTGAATAATGGAAATGATGATCTTGGCAAGTTTGATGCCAAAAGTGATGAAGGTGTATTTGTTGGGTACTCATCTACAAGCAAGGCGTATAGAGTGTTTAACAAACGAACTTGTTGTATTGAAGAAAGCATGCACATTAAGTTTGATAAATTGGGTACAAGAAATGAGAACAATGAGGACTATGAGTTTGAGGATCTGATGAACAAGCAGCAGGATGATCAGGGTACAAAAGAGAAGGATACAGAACACTCAGGAGGACATGTCCCTTAGGTTCATCATAGGAAACAGTGTCTCAAAATCTTGAAGAAGGTGAAGGTGATTCTGATGCTGACAGAGAAGAAGAGATTACAAGAAAGTCCAAATGGAAGTATCAATCTTCACATCTACTGGACAATCTCATCTCTCCACTTGACTCAGAAATTCAAACTAGATCTAAATCAAGGAATCTAGTTGCTCATTCAGCATTCATATCATCCATTGAACCAAAGAACATCAAAGAAGCATTGTAGGATGTAGATTGGGTAACTTCAATGCAGGAGGAACTTCATCAGTTTGAGAGATGCAATG